AGGACCTGAATCATCTGTTCAGAATTCACTCAGGTTGTACAGAGTCCTGGTTTTGACTCAGATGTGTCGAAGCAGATGGAAAAAGCTTTACACATCTCAAACCGGCCATTCAGGACATGGTTCACAGCTTCAGGCCTGAAGCGCTCTATTGTAGCTCTGACTACTACATCCACTATGGTTGTCATCTTGCTGTCTTTTGCAATCTCTAGAAAAGCATCCCCACAGCATGATGCAACTACCTCCGTGTTCCACAGTGGTGTGTTCAGATTGAGCATAATTCCTAAACAAGGAGAGGAACCAGATTATAGAGAGGTGAAATTTAGCATCATCCCGTTTAAAAAGTTCCATATGCTGCTGTTTAGAGCAGAAACTATAAGGCTCAGGTGCTGTAGGTTTCCTACAGATACACCCCCCTCCAAATCTGCCAGTCTGTCTATCCCCCTTCCTGACCCCACACATTCCTGCTCCTCTGTGTGCCGTAACAACCCCCCCCGCCTCGGGTTGTTCCACTGTCATCTTTGCAGCCTGATGACAACTCTCTGAAGCCTCTGGTATTTTCTGTTTTCACCTGATACATTGGTCTAATAAAAGGTAGCGACAGAATTTAAAGTGAGATCATCTCTTCATTGTCTCCTCCTTCAGCTGTTTCAAATGATCCACCCAACGGAATAAGTTATATGTAAATGTACACCGCACATTCACACCTAACTGGTGAGAAAGCCTGCAGAAGGGTGCTACTATAGTCTGATTGACAGCGGCAGAGTTAAAGACGGGTCAGAGTGGGTGTGAAAGCCTAGTAGGAGCACATACCAGTTGCCTTTCAACACCCAACAATCTGGTTTCCACTGCAGCTGGCTCACTGCAACATATAGAAACATGCTTTGGAATATAATGCGGCAGGATGTAGAACATGTGCTGCATTCGTCAACTTCCACATAGTGTTTTAGATGCGGCTAAACGGCAGCAGGTTTTAAATTCCTGGTCCTAAAGGTGGACTCCTGCTTTCTCTGTGGAGGTGGGCGAGCTCTGGTGATGACTGATGCTCCTTTTGTGTCTTTTCCAAACAAACCTTTCCTGTTGGTTCTGCAAACATCGAAGGCCTTTTGTTGTCCGGTTCTGTTTAGCTCAGCGCTCGGTTTTCATTACCTACTAAAAATACATGTAAACCAAGCACAAGCATAAAGGATCCAGGGGATTTCTACTAAACCGTTACTGATTTAATTGGGCTGAATGAATAAGCCAGACACCTTGATGTGATACTAAACTTTTGTCTGAATAGAGTAGATTTCCTCAGCTCCAAAATCTTCCTTTAAGAGGTCTGACTTAAAGGATAAAGTATGAATGTATTTAGCTATAAAATGGTTTGATATTTAACCCTAGGACCGTTTTAAATAAAGACATCAGTGGTAGAGCAACTAGTTTTACATTTTGTCCTCGGGTGGAAACAAAGGCATACACTTTCTTACTGTAGATACTGTTGAGTTTAGATTGGTGGCTATTTTGTTGCAGCTTTATAAGTTTATAACTTTATGACCAGAACTGCATACTCTCTTCATTTACCTTTTGAAGAGCTGGGAACTGGCTACATTAGCCTGGGTGCCATTCCGAACTTAGTCCCGCCTACAACGTTTGAGGTCGGGAAGTTCGGTCTGGCATTGCTCAATAGTAGCGCGAGTATGCTGGCACAATATCTGGTCGGGCCAATCAAATTGTCAGGGCGGGCTTTATACGATGATGGACAGATGATCAACAGTAACGTAATCAAACACGTCACCAAAGCGCGCATGGGTGACAACAACAATGGCTGCCGCTTGAGAGTTGAGGTGTGTAGATTCTGCTATTAGGTCTGTTCTAGAAGATATCGACAGCAAATTAATTTTAAAAGAGGAACAGAGAAATGCGATCAAGGCATTTGTTGAAAAGAAAGATGTTTTTGGCGTCCTTCCTACGGGATTCGGCAAAAGTTTAATTTATCAGCTGGCTCCCTTGCTCTTATTGGTTGTAGGTCTATCCAATCACAGCTCTATGGAGCAGTAGCAGACTCATATTCTGACTAGAATTGAGTAGGACTACGTCAGGCTATGGCTACACTATAAAATCAAGTTTTCTGAATGACTCAACTTAAAAAAAGATGAACTTTTTTATTTTATTGTTATCTTCATGAGTGCTGGATCCTAACACAGTATGGAAGGATATGGAAATTCCTTGACATAATGTCTCTTTAGACTTCTTTTGATTTTCCCTTAAATCCTTTTTTTCCTCATCTTATGTCCTTGTTTTATTCCTTTGTTTGCTTCTTGTCTCCCTTTCATTCTTTCCATCCTTGCGTCCTACCTCTCTTCCTTCCATCCTTTCCTTTCTTGTATTGCTCTTCCCAAATCCTCATGTCCTTTCTTAGTTCCTTATCACTCTTAGTTCTTTACTTCCTTGTGTCATTATTTTCCTCTCTTCTGTCCTTGCATCCTACCGCTCTTCTATATGTCTTTATGTCTTGTGTCCTACCTCTCTTGCTAATTTGAGGCTCCAGCTGGTTTCCAGACACAAATTATTGCGTTTGAAACAAACCTTGTCTTCCCTTAAGCAGAAGACCGGCTGTTGCTTGGTAAGAGGACCTATTGTGGGAAAAATAAACAGTTTGAGTTGTGATGTGACTGTAAGAAAAGGATGATGAGCTTTTTATTTGCTCCAGGGATTAGAAAAAAGGATCCACCTCTGGCAGTGACTCCAAGCGTTGAGAAACCATCAGCTGATGCAGCTGACGCCCTCCATGAAGAAAGAATTCTCAAACTCCAGCTCACCCTGGGAGACCGTTTGGGTGGAGTGTCATTTCACCCTAGTTTTTTCTTTTTTTCTTTTTTACCAAAGTTCACAGCTACCCCAAGAGTATGCCAAAGTTTGGCGCTACGGTCCAAATGCAGCAAAACACATCTTTATAGCTGACAGACTTCAAGGCGTCTCTTGAAGAAATGAAATGAGCCGACACAGGAGCTGTCCCACTGGTTGCCAGTTTCCTTCCTGACGCTGCCCTCATGCTGGACTCCAGCTCATGTTGCACATCTCACCCCCTCCCAGGATAGATGATTTAATGTAGCCCAGCACACCCTGTTTGCAGAAGTATTCATATCACTTCTAATTTTTCCAGGTTGTGTCCTTATTCAACCACAGATTCAGTCTATTTGATTGTGATATGATGACAAGCACAATGTAGATTCCTTGTTAGAGTTATATCCAGACTCTATCAGAGGCTATGTTCACAATGCAGGCCTTGATGCTCAATTCAGATTTTTTTGTGAAATCCGATTTTTTTCGTGTTGCCGTTCATATTTCTAAATATATGCGACTTGTATGTGATCTCCTCTGTGAACTGCAGTCATACAACGCAAGTTTCCCGCATGCGCGGTAGGGGATGCAATGACGTCACAGGCCAGCATGCTCTTTTTTCCCGGAAGTAAACATGGATGGTAGTGCCGGAGCGCATCTAGCGGTCTTTTCCAACCATAAAAACACAATCTTTTCAATATGGTTAAAGATAAATACTGCTCTCCACGTCATCATCTGCCATGGTTAATGCTTTTCTTGCTGCTTCTGCATAGCAAGACGCATAATAGTGACCTATGTTGGGTATTAATGACGTTCAGGTCGGATGAATCCGATCTGGCTGTTCACACACAGGTCACATTTAAAAAGATCAGATTCTTATCGGATTCAGGACCACATAGCCAAGTGGCCTGGGTCAGATTGGAAAAAATCGGATCTGTGTATTCAGACTGCCATGAAATGATCAGATCCAGGTTGCATATGGGCAAAAAAATCGGAATTGGGTCACCTCAGGCTGCAGTGTGAACGTAGCCAGAGTTGTTCTAAGACATGAGCATCTTTGATCTGAACTATTCCCTTGCACCTCTAGTTGTGTTTAATAGCTGTGGTTTCCAACCCAAATCAACTTAAACCTGCTTCCTCATCCCTTCTGGAAGAAAAGCAACCCCACAGCATGATACTAACACCACCTTGGAAACGGTGCATCTTAGATGATGTGGCTTTTTAGTTTTGGTCTGAGCAGCAGGTAAATAAACCTCCAGAAGTTGGTTGTAGCCCCAAAATAGATTGAAATTATTTCTCTTTTGTGTTGGGATGCTGTTTGGTAATGCTATAAAGTTTTTTGTTGGGTGACGAAGTGTTAGAAAGCTTAGTCAGTGTTAGTACCTTTGCAAAGCTCTGTAAAGGGAACTCCATATGATGCTGCAGTCCAATGGCTTGAATATTATTGCTGCCTTGGAAAAACAAAAAACTGCTGATGGTAGAGATTTTATTTCCTCCCTGATCCCTTTGATGATCCTGAAATCTTTGCGTGTGGATCACAGGTCATGGCCGGCTTATCCTAGAGTTTGAGGGAGTCTATATTTTTCACAAACAGGTCTCAGATTGCAGGTTGGAACCGCACAATTTTCTGCCTGAATGAGAAGCACAAATCAACTCTTTTTTTTTTTTTTTTTTTTTTTCATGTAAGGTTCATAAAAGTAGCCTTCATTCCCTCACAAATGGCTAACTGCCGGTGATTCCCCACATCGCTGGTGTTTACCTCTGTTTCCGATGATGGAGTGCAGTACCTCCAGTCTAGGTCTGCTTCTGTTTCTCTTCAGATAAAATATAACTGTACCCAACTAAAGTGACCAGTGGATCCAGTGACTCATTTCATGTTGCTTAGGGCAGCCTCGTCCTGTGGGGAGCTGCAGCCGCAGGAAAATGACAGACTGACGCGCTCGATTTACGACCAGGGAACAGGGAGGCTTTCAATTTTTAAGGCAGCCGTTCATCGGGACGTCTCACACACACACACACCCTGATTACACTCAGGAACATGGAGCCAGAGAGCAGTAAAAGTGGCTAGACATGGACTGCGGAGGCAGATAGTCCTGTCAAACCTCTTGATTTAAGCAGTCTGGCTGTAAGAGTAAGGCAAAGAGAAGCAGGCGGTCATTATTATATTGATTTGCCCACAGATGGTGAAACGATTCGAGGAAATGAAGATCGAAGTGCAAAGCGCCAAAAGAGAAAACAAGAAGCCGATATTTGATTTGTGGGGCTAAGGGGAGGAAACGTTTAATTGCAGCATGTAAGGAAGTCAGCAGTTTTTATTTCTTAATCTGTCTGCATGAAGTCTTTATTAGAGAAAGGACATTATTATGCACATCATATCATCCATGTGATTTTCCTGTGATGTGAAAAAGAATTTGCCCCTTTTACAGATTTGTTTTTTTACTTGTTTCTTCAATGTAAATGTTTTAGATTATTAAAGAAAACGCAGCAATAACATTTTCAGCAAATTTCTTAGATAAAAAGGCTATTAGAGTGATATTCCTGCTGTTATATTTCCCTGAATAAATAAAATCTTATTACTGCCTGGCCCAAAAAATCTCTTTAGGTAGATATTTATTCTTCTTTAACCCATTACTGACCCACTCATGGTTGAATCGGATTGGTATCGGTTATCGGATGATACGCTCAGCCCAGGTATCGGATTGGATCGGAAAAGCTATCAAAAGAGAGTATCATACCAAGCCCAGGCTGATGAATGAATGGCTCTAAATAAAGAATTTAAGTTGGCCTAGTCAAAGTATATTCATAAATCTGATATATGACCGTGAATATATCATTTATGGCGACACCCTCTACCCGTTTTGTATTTACTGAGGTAATCTGTCAGTTTCTAAGATCAAACATATTTAAGATGACAAAATAGCCAAAAAAAAGAAAAATAATCTCTAAGCGGGAAAATATTCTTAAGTAATACTGAAAATATTCTTTCCTGGTTTCCTCTGGATCCTCCAGTCTTAAAGCTTGATGTTGTTTGGGCAGAGGCGAAGGGAGGCGCTCTGTTCCGCTTCAGTCCACCGAGGATCGGCTGGCGGCCACCGTCTGTGCCAAGGGTGAGGGGGGGAGTAAATATAGCACACTGCATGAAACTTGGGAGAGAAGGAGGGTTGTAAATATAGGGTATCCTGGTGCAATTAGAGAGCCGAGAACTGCTGGGAAATTTTAGGGAGCTTTCTATGAGCTGAGTCTCTTTAGTAACTTTGTGATGTTGTTTAGATTGGCCAAACAACCGACGGAGTTCCTTTACTGTAAGTCATGGCGTTTTACAGAAAGTAGCCCAGTTTAGCATTTACCTACTTATCTTTATGTCGCTTTTTATCCTGCGTGTAGCTGCTCATTGACTCTGAAACGGGACATTTCTAAATAAAGACCTGGGGTAGTCATTTTTCACTCACTGTAATTACACTCAAAAGCATCCATTTAATAGCTTGTCACTGTTTAGTAAAATCTGTTTCAGACAGTATGATTACAGTTATAAGGCATATTGTATGAACAACAATGACGGCATCAAATTAGGGAGCTGCTCTGTCAGACATGACAAAGACAGACCTAATCCATTCGGAACATTGTCCTTACAGTAAGATGACCTGTAGCAAAGCGCCACAGTCGTACAAAGTAAAATCTGAAATAAGTTATCCATTTCAGTCATAGCTTATGTGTCAAAAAGAGAATTTCCTGAATATATGTGAGGATTTGGGATGGCAGCTAATCACCTCACATGACGGTAATGTTGGGTTCATTGCTGGATATGATGTAGCATTACATTGAATCTAATCAACATAGCAACACAGGTCTAACCAAACGGTTACAACAACAAACGTGACTTCATGCTTTTACTCACCAGACCAGGAGAAGAATAGCTACATCTGAGTCAAAACTGGAGCTGCTTCTGCTCTTGAAGTGCTCTTCACATTTAGAAACGCATGGCCAATACTAATCCTCGTTTAGTCCCTTTCCTTATTTCTTTGTCAAAGGCTGTTGCTTTTGTCTTTGGTAGTAATGTGTCCTGATTGTCTTCGGTTAAATTTTATGGTCCGCTTGATGCTGGGTGCCATTTTGCTCCTATGCTACGCTGATAAGCCTTGTTGGTGATTGTTCAAATGTACACGCACATGTGGCCGGAACGGCTATGTAAACAAAAGGAGAACAGCACAAGAGAGAGGGTGTCGCCATGTCTGAACTTCCGCCTTAACCCCAAAGTCCCTCAATCGCTATATAGAGTGGGGACTAAATAGTGGACCTTATAGTGAACTCAGTTAACTGACCGCTCAGATAGAGGATCACTACGTTTAGCTCCCTATTGGTCACGTAACTCCGCCTGCACCGTGTGGTGTCTGCGCCATCTTTGGTATTGGTTGCCGCTGTCGGGGTAGTGGCAGCCTATGGCGAGAGCGGGCAGCTGTGACAAGAAATCCCATATGCTTAGTGAGGGGAGCTCTCTTGCAAAACATCCTGGAATATATCTGCTCATCTACTGGCTACGGATGATCGCTACTTTTCAAGTTGCATTGTTGGATAATTTGAGTCCACTACTTTTTCATCCACTAGACATTCAGACACTCATTAAAAATGGCGTAACCCCTATATAGTGCCCTATATAGTGATTAGGGCGGACATCCAGACACAGCCTGTCTCACTAGAGAAAAACGTGCTGCCTTGTCAATTTGTGCATGTCATGGCTTTGCAAACGTGGCTACTTTGGTTTGTCAATTTTACAGAAAAAATGCAGAAAGAACGGGGATGTAAGAATTTCACTCGCACCCTTGCCGTGCTTCTATGTTTACATCTGAGAGGAAGAAGAAAAAGAAAAATCCTTGTTTGCGCATGCGCCCTGCACGATTTGCCAACGACTGTCGGGAGAAAATCAAACATGCTTGATTTTCTCCCGACCTCATGATTCCTGATTGGAAGGTGGTCATGGGAGGCTAATCGCCCCTCGTTACCCCCTGTACACTACATGAGGCATGACCAGGCTGAAAGTCGGTCCGATCGGAAAAATTCTCACACTGTCGTGTGAGAAAACAGCTCCAAACACACTGTTTTTAGCCTGTTTATTCATTTTGCAGGCATACTGACATTCAGAGTTTGATCAGCAAACTGTCAGTTCTTTAAAGATCGTACCAGAACACTCTTTGATGGCCTATTGTGTGTGAGACTGACAGATGGCTTTATGACTCCATGTGATAGTACCTTCCAAACAATTCTGATCACAATGACTGGATCGACTGTTTAAATTCTTGCTTTGGGTTACATTTTTACTCATACCTGTATGCTCTTGATATTGTATACCAGAGTCACCCAGTCACATGGCCTGAAAAATGCAGCCTAGCTCACATTTGTCAGTGCCTGTAGCAGTAGGTGTCCTCTATGTTTCTGTCTCTACTGTCCCCCTTTATGTCTCTTCTCTTCTGAAACGGTTTTTCTTTTTTTCACACAACCTCTTTGACCGCACTGTAAATTTTTGTCTGTTTCTGGGTCACTTTGTACCAGAACCCTTATGTAGACGCTTGTATAAACTATTATGTATCATATGAACCTAATGAATTGTATTTATTTTCATTTGTATATCCGCTTTTTGTTATGTATTTAACCCAATTGTTTCTTCCCTTTCCCCTTCAGAGTGCTGATGTCAGCGGTTCATCTTTGGAGACAATCTGGTACCACTCAAAGCGCTTCTAGGCCCCACCTTTTCCTCCTGTGACAACCAATCAAATGGAAAGAGCTGCTGGATTGGACGTAACCCTGAAGCACTTTGACATAAACTGATGGAACATTTTTTTTTTCCTTCCTCACATTTATCCGGTCGGTTGAGCAAACCAACAGGGATGTGTGCCAAATGATATTCTTAAAAAGCTATTCGCTGCTCTCATTTCCTGAAGTGAAAGCCAATCAGAGGACGGTACAGAAAGGAGAATAGTATTGGGGGAACTTTTTTTTTTCTAAACCTCTAATGAATAAAATAATAGAAATATGGTTGACTGGTATGTATAAAAGAAAAGAAGAAAATATATAGATATACATAGCTGCTCAAAAAGTGCCTCATTTTCAGATTGTAGCCATTCTAAATGCTAAAGCTTCGGGTGTTTTTATTCCACTCTTGTGTTAATGTAATTACAGTCGCAGAAGGTGCTGATTAAGATTAAAAGCATTTTTTTTATTTATCGCAGATGCGTTCATGTCATAAAGGATCAATGTAAGGGGTTGGAAAGTTTGCTGTGTAGATTACAGGGGATTGCTTGGGCACTAACAACAGACTTTATAGACAAAATATTTATAGTCCCTATAATTACAAACAGCCCTGTTTTCAGCAAATATGCCCACACTCAGACAGCATTACGCCTGCTTTGATTTAGTGCTTCTTGATTTCTGCCCTTTACAAAAAAATTATAAATATACATGGTAGAAAAATTTGAATCTCCTTATTTAACGTGAGCATCTCAATTATGACAGCTCACACTTATAATTAGGAAGACATGGGGCAGTATTTTATTTTGATATTTGTTTTTACAGAGGTTTTACTGGGTTTTTTTTTTAGTTTAGAGAGAGAGATATGGGTACTTCTACCAATGCCACTTCTTTTGATTATGGGAGGGAAGGATCGCCTTGAATAGCCATAGGATGGAAATATCACCTACCTTATATATAGTGTAAAAAAAATCCGTATTCTTTATGTGAAATAAAGATAATAATTTCCAAGAATGTTTTTAAGCTTCTGTGCTTATATCAGAACATTTTATGTAGTGAAATTGCAGCTATAGCCAAACAAAATATGTTCAAAATATCACCTTAAATAAATGTTATTAAATGACATGCTAACTCTCGTTACTTGTACCTTAAGATAAGAAACTCAGGGCTTTTTTTTTTATTTCAAGTAAATTTTTTTATGCAATAATGATTTTTTTTTTTATGACAAATACAAAAAATGTATTAACAAAGTATACTTACTAAAAATTATACTAATTGTGCATTTAACTGAAATATACATATTTTTTTCTACCCTGGATAGCTTTATAACTGTTGACCCCGCAAAAGGTGAAAGGATAGGAGATATTAATGTATCCTATCACAAAGAGCCATCTATTAACTTGTTATTCAACCAACTTAAAATGGAAATCCATGAGAGGCAACGGGTGTTGCAGAAAAATATTAATATTAAATATAATTTATAATTTATAAAAGCTGACATAAATCCTGCCAGAATATTCTATTCCAGCCTATGTTTTTTTTTTTTTTTTACTTTAGCCATTCAGATCAAACAACAATACCTGTAGTAATATATGGCATTCTGGTAGGTTTTTCGCCAATTTTTATAGATCTTATTGTTTTTTTTTTTTTTTTTTTTCTAAGACACAATACTGATTTGGGGCTGTTGGATTAAACTACTTTCCCAAACATCAAATGGTATCAACAAAGTGAACCGAGCCAAACTAATTACTGAAAGGTACCCATTGATTTGAGTTTGATCTGGAGTTGTAATTTCTTAAAATTAAGAGTGACCAGATCCTGCTGGAGTGTTGTGAGGAAATAAAGAAGTCCTTTATTTGGCGCACACACATATACCGCTAGAGAGGGTTGACAATTTGCTTTGATACAAACCTTCTTAGTTCCTCCTTTATAACTTTGTTATTAATCACTAGTTTTTTCTAGGTGTGCGGAAATAAAAAATGCTACATTTCAACAAACTAAGAAGTCTCCCATGACAACTCCAATATGACATGAACGCAGAGTTTTTGCTAAAATTAAATCTGTATACAGTACTAGCAACCTGCTAGCTATTCTTTCCTACTGTGAGAAATATTAGCAAAGCAGCTATTAGCTCTATGCTAATTAAGGTGTTTCATTTATTTTCTTTTTCTTTCTCTCTTGATTTTTTTTTATTAACTGTTTACTTTCATTTTTGCTGTTCAGTGAGCCATAAACAAGTGTTCATATCCACAGGCTTGAAAAAAAAAAAGGCACTTGTAGCAGGGAGTGGAGCAGCTTGTACGCAAGCTTTAAGCTAGCTGATTCAGTTTAGCATATCAGCCAGGTACCAGGACATACGTTCACCGTCCTGCTGACCACAGCTGGGGTTAGACCCCCCTGATACAGAGCCACACAATCCCATTAGTGCTATTGGACACTCACTTAATCCCGATCGTCTCAGGATGCTAAATAACAAACAGTATACAGAGCCGAGGACAGTGTCTCTATCAATAGCCGTGATTATGTTAGCTTTGTGCAGTCAGCAAATAACCATTTTAGCACCTGTAGATGGAGTAGTTCTCATTGAGGTTTTGCATAAAGACAGCTAATTTGCTCTCAGTTGCAATGTAGAGCACCTAATTGTTTCAGGATATTGTTATTTTCTCAGTCTCTTTTCAAACTGATCAAAGTGAAAGTACTTTAGCCTCTAAATCCTCCTTAATGACTATTTGTTTTTATCGCCTTCCTTTCCTGTCTTTGCTTGGCTCTAACTTTAATCTTCACTATGCATAAGCACTTAAGTGCCTGTCCTATTTCTTAATCTTAGTCTCTCTGTCTCTCTGCCCCATTTTAGCACATAGCACTAATACATTTGTCAGAGCAGAATATAACATAACTATTTTTGTGTCTATTTCCTGGCTGTACAGTTCTTGCAAAATTCCTTCAGTTTTGTTTGGTGTAAACATGTTAGCATTTATGGTCTCTGTCCCACGACCCAAGGACTTGATCATCACATTGTAATCAGTGCCAAAACACTGCAGCAACAGAACTATGCTGTTCCTCTCTCCAACACCACCTCAAGAAACAACTTTCAGTTTTCAAGGCGGGGGATTTTACTTGGTTTTAAGACTGAGATGTAATTTGTTTTTGTTTTCTTCGCATTCTTTCACCGTTTTCATGCGAGGTTTTTCTGGCATATCTCTGCTCCCAGTTGGCTCACGAGACTCTCTTTGAGATAAAGGTCGCTGTTGGAGACTTATGTATGCTTTAACTTTGAATTTGCCAATGACTTTGACTGGAGGCTTATAAAAAAAATAATAATAATTAAAAAAAAAACAATGCTTGAAGAGAAGGAAATGTCCACGACAGACAAAACACTGCCTTTTCAAGTAACTCATACCAACTGAGTTTTTTTCATACTTTTTCTCGTTAGAAGTACTCACCTGAATGTATTGCAGTGGGATTCCAAGTGACAGACCAACACAAAATAGTAACTTAACTGTAAAATTAATCACTGTTGCTTAAAAAAAATGCATCCCCAGAGCATGATGCTGCCACTACAGTATATCACAACTGTTGATCATCTACTACAGAGATTATGTTGCAAACACTGCATTTACTTTCACACAAATTACTTATAAATGCATTTTAGCTGTACTGGATTTAATTCAGAGGCAAATGTCATTTTCAGTGAACTTCATTGCGTTCTACTTTGTGTTGGTCTAACACATGGAATACAAATAAAACATGTAGTTTGTGACATGTAATGTTCATGACCCTAAAAATCATGTTTGTCTGCTTACTTAAGGAGGTTCACAAACTCTTTCAGCGTGGTCACATGACTTTTCAGGCTCTACAGAGCAACAATGCAGCTTTATTAGGAGCTGATTGGGATCTGTGGTTGGAATCCTAATGATTCAGGAGTGGGGGGGGAAAAGTTGTATATACATGATGGATTTCGGGGATGTCCTCATGTTGTAACACTGCCGTTTTCAGTCAAATGCCTCAATGTGATAGAGAAAAACTAAACAGACTTGCATTCAGACCTGATGATTAGAGCTGTTCTCCACTGCTCCTACTTTGTCAAACTTCCTGCATTTCCTGTCAGCTGCCCGCAACAAAGTTCTCAACAGTCTCAAGCTTCATGTCATAGGTGTGGTTTGGCAGTTTAAGTGGCTGTATGATTTCACTCATGTCATTGTAAGCATTTTTTTTTCTTTTGTGCGCACGTGTGTGTGTGTGTGTAATTTTTTTTTAGATATTTTGATGTACAGAAAAATGGTGCTGCTGCTTGGTCTAAATTGTTTTATCTGCTCCTGCTGCACCCCCCCTGAGGGATGGTACTGAATGAAAATATTGTAAAATTTACCATTGATGTAGAGCGTTCTACTTTTGTTGCTTGAAAAAAAAAAAAAGATTGACTTCAAACAGAAAAAAAAAGTCATTCAACAAAATGTCTTGTGGTTATTTCTTTTCCCTTGATATATAGTGGTAGTTTTCAGACAGTTATTGTGCCGAATATTACAACTCTGTGGTTCTACTTTGTAAATGAAAAAAAAAGGAGGATGATACAGTGCTTTGATATTTTATTCATCCCCTTATTGCTCCTGTGTTTTTTTTTTTCCTCACTACTCAAATACTTAAGATCATTGGACCAATTTTAGTACTACTTAAAGGTATTGTGGAGCATTTTTAAAAAAAGACCCTCCTCTCCATTTAAAAAAAAAATGCATGTGCAAGAGCATGCACTTACCCGTTTCTCCTTGTGCACGCTCTGTTTAAAATGTGCTGTTCTTATAGTTTATACAAGCTTACTGTGTCCACATACAGCAGGGACAATATAGAGGAGAGCTCTCCACATAAAACATTCTGGGATATGACTACCTCATCTGAGGCCTTTCATTTCGTCTCATACACTTCATGGACAATTTTTCTTTAACGACCCTCAGCCATTTCTAAAGAACTGCAGTGAGGAAGGTGAGCTTCAATGACTGTCTGAAACCGTAGCTCACCACACATATGTGGCTGAAAGTGCGCATGTGCAGAAAAAGATAGCTAACTGAGGACGAGCACGTAGGACCGCCTTACCTAAACGTATCACCAGAATGATTGACAATTAGGAGGACCACTTGTTTAGATGATCCACCTGGAAATAAAAGTTTGTCCTCTATGTCCTCTATCAAAGTAAATGCTTTCATTCATTAAGGTAAGAGGAACCCTATCCCACACTGAAAACATTTTTTTTTAAATGAGTGCATTTGATCTTGGATTGAGGAGGTAAAAGACATTTTGCCAATGGAACAAGACTATTTACACATAAAATAAGAAAACACAATTGCATTGTTTAATTTCAAGCGCATTTTGTTTAATTATCTTATTTTAAAAATACTCATTCCAGTGGCAAACCATCTCATTTACCTACTCAAATTAAGGGTAAATACACTTAATTTAAGTAAATTTTACTTATTTCTAGGTCGTTTTTCCAGTTCAACCACCTTAACAATATTCTAAATGGTAATCATCAACCTGTTAAAGTGGGACTTGTAAATTCAACACTTTTCTTACAGAATGAAATATGCAAAACAACTTCTAAAAGCCAAACGGCACAAACCACCCCTGTTTTATTTTGTATTCTTAAAGGTATAGTGGAGGGTGTTGTTTTTTGGGGTGGATCATCAAAATAAGTGGTCTTCCTATGATCTGGTGAACTGTAAAGTACCTTGAGATGATATCTATTGTGAATGGGCGCTATACAAATAAACCAAATTGAATTGAATTGGTAGGTTATTATATGTAAAGCTAGGTGCTCTTCGATTCTGCATGTCAGTAATGTGTTGGACCAGTTAGATGCATATATGTATTGCCCAAGATGCTGAAGTTCAAATTAATTTGTAATGAATTGATTATTTTGCTGCTTTAAGGGGAAGATAAAATGTAAGTGACATCCCCATGGTTTCCAAAACTTTGTTGAACTTTATACAATCATCTGGCTAATTGAAACTCAATTTTCTGAAATATGTGGTCAGGTTGGTTTGCAATTATTCCTGTCTTTATATACCAAAATGGTTGTGCTGATTTGACTCATTTAATTAGTAAAAAAAAGCTAAAATGTGTAAGGGAATGTTTTCACACCTCTTATCTAGACTGGCTGCTAATTTATGAGCAATGAGATTATTGTTAAAAGAAATTTGACAGAGAACAATGGAGCAGAGGAATAGAGTGTTGGATGAGAAGCAGACAGCTCCTGCGTTAGGGGAGAGTGAATTTCTGCAGGAAATGGCACAACCATAGACGGGTACTTATGTCCCGTCAACACAGTGCAGATGTCACACTCTAATGTAGAAAAAAAAAAAGGCCAAATAGATTTTTGTTTTTTCTAAGTCTTTTGAACGTTGTTAGTCTCACTCACCTGTCCTACAGATAAGATCATTTTCACTCCAGGCTGGCAGGTTGCCATTGGGTTTAGTCACTCGCCCCAAAGAGAACTTAACACCTTCCCCATGCCTTATTCACCGGCTAACTTAAATAAGCCTCTTTTTTTTTTTTTTTCTTACATTCAAGTTGCACAGGATCGTGTATCATCCTCACCCACAGATGGTAATTTAACCTAAGCTTGGTGTGATTGCACGCCGCACTGCAGGAATAATTAGAAACGAGGACATACAGGCAGCCCACACCTGCACCTGCTCCCACTTCCCCTCACTGCTGTTTGCTGCTGAAAATAAGCCAGCTTTCAACACCTGTACAACAGACAAACCCCGACACCTGAAGGGTAGTGAAGACTCAACTCCTGTTTTATAGTCACATCTCTCCTTTCCTGTTGTTCAGCCAAGTTATACATGTTAGACAACATGGTCTCACAGTAGTATCAAGCCCTGAAGATCATCTGGTTTGCTGTTTTTTTGTTTTGTTTTTTGCCAAGCTGTTTCCTTTCTTTACATCAAGGGATTGATCACACAACAGTCACTTTACGATTTTAAACACGAAGCAATTCTGTTTTTCATGACAGTTTTTTTTTTTTTTTTCAAAAATTTAAATGGTGAATATATAATTCAGATTACTAAGCAGAAAATTAAGATGCTATTTTTGTAGCCTGAGGCTCAAAAACCTTTTAACATCTGTTATTCAGCTTCACCCAGCATTTTAAGATGCAATGGGACCTGAGTGATAGACCGCCACAAAGTTGTATTTCATTGTGAAGTGGAAGTAAAATGATGAATGCCTTTAACCTCCTAACATCCACCTCATTTTGGGTAATCCTCGCCTATTTTGCATATCCAAATGGAAAAGCAAACAGTTTAGGAAATGTAATTCCAAATTGCACGTGCAATACATTATTTGAAAGCTAACACCCTCTAGTTTCCTAATATATAAATTAAAATTGGGGTGACTAGAACACAGACCAAACTGCATCAGTTCAAACATTTGCTAAAGTGCTCTCTTGGGAGCCAAAAAAACAATTTAAACTGCCCTGGAGCCAAAACAAGTGCTAAATGACCCTCTCGGGAGCCAAAACACGTGCTAAAGTGCCCTCTTGAGAGCCAAAAAAACAATTTAAACTGCCATGGAGCCAAAACAAGTGCTAAAAGACCCTCTCGGGAGGCAAAACAAGGGCTAAATGAACCTCTCAGGAGCCAAAACACGTGCTAAAGTGCCCTCATGGGAGCCAAAAAAACAATTTAAACTGCCCTGGAGCCAAAACCAGTGCTAAATGTCCCTCTCGGGAGCCAAAACACGTGCTAAAGTGCCCTCTTGAGAGCCAAAAAACAATCTAAACTGCCATGGAGCCAAAACAAGTGCTAAAAGACCC